AAAAAAAAAAAAAAAAAAAAAATCTCTATTTATGAAACAAGACTGAAACAAAGGTGTCATTAAAGTAAATGGAGAATTTCATCTTACTTATAAGCCTGAGACTAAAGTCAATGCATTGATTGTAACATGGTCAAAACAATCCTTGAAAATAATTTACTTATATCACAAAGAACAACATCTATGATAAGAAATATGCAAACTGCATTAGGCAGCTATTGTCATGATCTCACTGTAGAACAACCCCCAAATCTCAATAGAAAATAGTAAGGATTTATTTACCACTCTCCTGTCTGTGGATTGGTGGGCCAGTTTCCTCTGCCCCATGTTCTCATTCTAGGCCCCTGGCGAGAAGGACCTTGGCTATGTGGATATATTCTTCCCATGGGGATGGCAGATGCACAGAGAACAGGTGGGTGTGTGGAAACCCATCACACCTTCTTCCCCTTTCTAAACTTCCAAACAACAGCTGTCACCACACCATGATCTGGTGACAGTCGTAAGTCATCCTCATCCTGCTCACCCAATGGGGAGCCGCAGAGTCCTGTAGGGCTCCGTCCTGACCAGCACAGAGGATGACTTTTTTAAAATCATCCAGATAATGTTAATTGTAGGACCTGCTGAGCATCAGTAGCTCCATCTTCACAGTCACGGGCATATAATGGTGGTTAGTTGGTGATGGACCACAGGTCTCATAAGTTATAATGGAGCTGAAAAATCCTATCTCCTAGTGACATCATAGCCATCATAGGATTGTAGTGCATGGCCTTATTCATGTGTTTGTGGTGACACCAGTATCAATAAGTCTACCGTGCTGCCCATCAGGAGAAATATAGCAAATGCAACTATGTACAGTACTCAGCCCTTGATCTTGACTCTGATGGATTATGTCTAGATTTCCCCCAAGACCTCATGTACCCATAGGCGGGGCTTTTGGAAAAGGACTGGACCCCAGAGGGATACAGCTGACTTGCTCTGAGGAGGTGGGGTCTGGCGGGAAGAGGCTGTCACTAGGCCTGTGACCCAGAAGGATGTCACCTCCCTCCCCGGCTCCTCCCTCCTCGCTCTGCTTCCTGGTCACCATGCTGTGAATAGTTTCTTCTGGCCAGGCCTCTCCATGCAGTTTCTCTGTTTGAGCCTGATGTACACAAATTGAAACTTTTGAAACATGAGCCCAAATAAACCTCTCCTACTATGGTGTCAAAGGACAAAAAAGTGACTAAGACGACGACAATCAATTACTGTTACTGGTTTATGTCTTTACTGCACTATGCTTTTTTTTAAAAAAAAAAAAGTTTATTGGTACATTTTAGGTGTACAATATGATGGCATTCATCATTGCAGTCTTGTACCTTTGCATGATGCATCTTAGTTTCTATTTCTCCCCCATTCCCCTGCCCTCCCTTCAAGCCCTCCACCCCTCCCTATTTACAAAGACATTGTTTCTGTTTTTTCCTTTCCTCATATTTATTCCTTTCCCTTCTTTCTTTTCCCCTACACCTCCCACTTCTCCTTCCCCCTTGGACCTTCTCTTCCTGTTTAACATTATCTATTATACATTTTGATCCTTATTTACACTTAAGTTTCTCACACCAGAGAAACTATTTGGTATTTACACGTGTGTCCTATTTATTTCACTTAAGAGTATGGCCTCAACGTGCATCCACTTAGCTATAAATGTGCCTCATTTCTCATTCTTTATGGGTGAGTAGTACTCAATTTTATTTTTTTAAAACCCTGCATCTTCTTTATCCAGTCTCCTGTTGGTGGGCATTTGGGCTGTTTCCAAGCTTTAGCTGTTACAAACCGTACCACTATAAACATGGGTGCATACATATCTCTGTGATATGATTCATGTAATTCTTTGGGATAGATACCCAGCAGGGGAATAGCTGGTTCAAATGGAACTTCCAGTCCTAATTGTTTGAGGCATCTCTATATTGATTTTCACAGTGGCTGCACCAGTCTGCACTCCCACCAACAATGGAGAAGGTTTCCTTTGTCCCCACAGCCCTGCCAGCATTTATTGCTTGATTTCATGATAGTAGCCATTGTTTCTGGGGTGAGGTAGAATCTCAATGTTGTTTTCATCTACATCTCTGGAAGGACCAGTGATGTGGGAAAAAAATTTACCAACTGTTCCTCAGATAAAGGTCTACTATCTAGAATATATAAAGAACTTTTAAAAAATCAGATCTCCCAAATTTAAAGACCGAATTCAAAAATGGACATCTGAAATGAACAGACACTTCTCAGACAAAGAAGTAGAAACATCAAATAAACATATGCATTATACTTTTTATCATCCATTTACAGTATACTCCTCCTTGGAAAAAGATGTGTATGGTAAAACAGTCTGCCCTGTGACACTGGCGGCAGCATCACACATCTTGAGTTGATTGCATCTCTAGACTGAATAAAGGAGCCACACAGGGAGACTGACATACACACCAGGTTAGTGTGAGTGCATCCTGTGACTTCCTGAGATGACAAAATGGCCTAACTCATCTCTGTTGTTCTGTGTCACATGGCTGCATCCACATATCCAAATGAAGATTCATATTCACAGTTAATGGATTATTTCACTTGAATTGTATATAGTTTTACAAATTTGCTGGAGTTAATTTACTTCATCAGAACCCAGTAGGATATCACACTGAAGCTTTTGCAAGTCTCTCACTTATGATAAAATCTGAAAAAACACTCCTCTTTCAGTTCTATGTAAATGAATGAAGAAAGTTATTCTGATTATTTTACTACTTTATGGTTTCCTATCTTTGATCACATGCCACTTTATGACAAAGAAAACCAAGCTCTCTACCCATAAATCCTACTGAAAAAAAAATCAATAATCAAAAACAGTTATTCTCATCCCACTCCAGAGGGCTCCAGGTCTAGTAGAGAAGCTTACTTTTCTATCACCAAACTCTTAGAACTGCTGTATGCAAATAACATCTTGAACGCAAAAATTCTCCCTGAGTTGAGGAATTTATTGGTTTCATCAAAGAGTTCTTAGCTTTCTAAAAGAATCATCATCCAAAAAAAAAATTTTTTTTCAAGTGCATAATGAGATTGGAATTCTCCAAATTCGAGATCCACTCCCCCACACCAGGAGGCTGATGCTGCCTGCTGGTGGCCCTGGAAAAGCCAGCTGAGGAGAGAGAGAAGCAGGTGGTGGCAGTTCAGGACTGATGGCCTTCGTGCCTCCTCTGAGTTGCCTGGCTTTTTTCAAAGTGATTGGTAAAGACCAAGACTGGGTGTCCTATTTTCCAGTGGTCGTAAATTCCTGAGTTCTGATCATTTCATTTTTTTTTTCAGAATCTTTTCATGGAATCAGCTGTTACTCTATTTTTATTAAGAAGAGCTTGGTATTAATTAATGTCAGGCTAGGAAATGTTGCCTCTGCAAAATATAGCTGGGTTTCTGTTTTAAAAGGGAACAGCTCATATATCCAAGAATAAAGCTGTAAAATCATGGAGCCAGAGGACTCTTCAGAAAGCTAATACTGTAGCACCAGCAGCTGGCCAGAGAGAACCACAGAAAACTGGAGCTTTGACATCATATGTCTCAGAGCAGCAAGCTGGTGCTGGCAGGGAGGACACCTACCCTGGTCACGCTGAGTGGCGGGCTGAGTGAACCCTTGCTGGTGGCAGGGCCCCCAGGGGATTTCCACCCCAATGCACCACATAACAAGGAAAAGCCTAGCTGGTGCTCAAAGATCTTGAGAAGAAATGACACTCGGATCATTACTGGTTTGTTTATTAACAATCACTGATTGAAAATCTACTTAAAACACATTGGTGATGTCATTTTTAAAAAGAATAAAATTACATACGCGGAATCTAGAATTTTAAAAAGGATGACCTAAAAGTAGAAAGACCAAATAGTAGAAAGGCTACAAGGGGAGGATAAGGCGACTGGGCCAGTGAGGGTAGTTGGGAGGGCAGATATGAGCAGCCTAAACACAAGCATGGAAGGAATTTTCACAGCGAAGCCCATTAACATGGAAAATCATACATGTTAATAATTATAGTGTACAACGAAAGGATGAGATTAAATTGAATTTTTACAATACTATCTATAGGAACAGCCACATCAGGAATTTTAAAAGCCAAGTTCAGTGGAATTATTGCTAATAGAAGTGATATATAAAATGGTGAACATTAATACACAAATTCAACTCTAAGTTTTTACTGTTGCAAATCCTGACAACTTAGACAATGGTTATGCATGTGGAGTTTGGTTTAGACATGTGAAGTTTCATGTACAGTTTCTATTTCATACCAACTTGGAAAGCTAGGTATGTTACTTAATCTCTCTGAGCCTCAGTTTCCCCCTTGGTATACCGGCACTGTCAGAATGAGGTATAACCTAGGTGAAGTACTTAGCACAGCACTGCAATAAATTATGGGCCTCCTAACTCTTCATCGTACCCACAAGATATGGGACATAGATTAAGTGAATGCCACGGCTGGGAACCAACACAGCCTTCCTTCTTAAGAAGTTCATTCCAATGACTGTGGGCAGAGTTCCAGGCAGCCTTTCTAACAGATCTTAGTGTTGGTTTCTGCCCTCTGGATTTCTCTAGGCAACCTGGGAACAAAGTCTTAACTAGAAACCTTCTGACAGTTCACAAAGGTTAAGTTCATCGCCCATATCATTTGCTAATTTTATATTCCAAAAAGGAAAAAGGTGGAATTATGGAGCCTCAGTTCTTTAGCAAGCAGAACACTTAAAGGGCTAGAGGACGTGTTTAGGAGGATGCACAGGTGTGACCAACAAATACAGTGAAAGTCTAAATTTTTAAAAATATTACTACAGTAAAAGACACACTGTCATGAGTTCCCCCTCAAGAGGCTCGTTCCCCCTCACTTCAGACACACTGATCCCACTGCGTTAGCCACTTTCTGAAGCAGCTCTGGCTGTCCTCTTCCTGAATGTCTTTAGTCGTGTTGTTGTGTCTGTCTCTGTCCTGAATTGATCTGAAATGTTCCCTTTCACAGTCGCTTCAACATTGGGGAAGAGCCGGATGTTACATGGTGCCAGATCCAGTGAAGGAAGCGCACAAGGACACACTGTAGTGTTTTCATTTGACAAAGAATTGCTGCAGACCTTTTGAATCTACTCAGAATATTGAGGCTACCAAAAAAGGCATGAAAGAGGACTTCCAGAGCTGCTTCAGAAAGTGGCAAATCGATGGGGTAAGTGTGTTCAAGGCAAGGGGAGATTTTAAAGAGGAGAAATGGCAGTGTATCTCTTACTGTAATAAATGTTTAAGTTAATTATTCACCATAGGATTTGATCACATCTGGTAAATTAGAATTATTTCAAGAGGGATGGTTCCTCTAACCAGTACAACCACAGTGGGGCTCTTGTTCATGTAGACAGGAAGACTCCAAAGCCAGGATGGAAAATCAGGGGCAGCCTGTGGGTGCTGCAGGTTCTGAGGCTCCATCCAAAAGGAGGTGCCCAGCCACGAGGGAGGCCCGGAGCATGATTGTCGGAAGTGGGGGAGGAGGCACTTGAACAGTTCCATCAGAAACTGCGTCTGTGTCCAGCTCTACTTCTTCCTGGCGATGTGGCCTTGGACAAGTCACTTAACTCCTGTGAGCTTCAGTTTTCTTAACGATAAAGTAACAATTTCTTAGCCACATGCTCAGCCACAGCAAAAGCATAACAGTGAAGATACTGAGGCCTCCATACAAAAGCCTCAGAAAACCAACACACAACAGGTCAGGTGGGCACAGCACAGACAGACCAGGAGTCCTGGCCAGTACAGCCCCAGGGGAGGCAGTGAAGCCCCCTTTCTTGGTTCCCATGTGCTGGGCACGTGCCATCGCTCCTGATGGATTCCTGGCTCTCCGTCCCTCCCGGGACCCCATAGTCTCAGGGTCTTCTCCAGCCCCCCTGACGCCCATCCTCCCTCCCCGTGTTGCCAGGCCGCCGTCCTCACTCACAACCCTGCTCCAGCTGCCAATTTCCTGCGAACCTTTGACGAGGATTTTATGGGAACATAGCTCAGACCCCTTGGCCTGCCCCATAGCCATGTGAGACAGCAAGGGCCTCTACCTCTTACCTCTTCCTTCCCCACAGTACACAGGCGAGTCCTGGAGATCAGAGAAAGGCCAGCTTTATTTTGACTTTGTAGTTCTCCAGCCCCTGAGACTCCTGCCTGGGGACAGAGAAGCGACACCTTCCTAAATATTTACCTCCTCCTAGTCCTCGCCTTTCTCTGCCCTTGAGAATCACTGAGAGTATTTATAAACTGATGTCCGGCCCATGCCCCAGACCACCAACATTTTTACTGATGCGAGTACTTTTAAGTTCTTCTGGTCATTCTGAGATACAGTCTAGATGGCAGATTATAGCCATATACCTATTGTTATTTTTTAAGGGAAAAAACAACAATAACAAAGACAGACTCATCTCTTGCTTGAGGTTCTAACATCAACCATGTTACTGATCATTGGTAACCTGGGGAAGACTTATCCGTTTGAGGAGGAAAATGACAGATGCCAAGTGTGTGATCCATTCAGGCAGGAGGAGGTTGCTCAGCCTCCCTGTGGTTTTAGGAAAATCCCCGTGGATGTCACTGAGCACGATCCCAATGGCATGGCGGCTCTCAGGAGCAGCCTGGCTCCTGGCCAGCCCAGCACAGAAGGAGCAGCCCAGGGAGGAAGGAAGTGACTCAGGGCTGCCCTGTCCCCGGCAACGGGACAGGGCTGTAACCTTTTGTGAAAGGACAGGTAAAAATAGCTGGAGTACTTTAGGGAGAGCTCAGAATTTTTAGATTCAGAACCATCTGATTATATAACAGAGGGTAAATGACCCAGGGAAGGGCAGAGGACTATTCTTTACCATCTTTAATACTCTGGGCTAAAAGTTTGGTATGGGTTTTCTCATCTAATCCTCCCATGATGCTGTGAGTTTGGTGTCTTCTTCTTGTACAGGAGGAGTTTGCAGCAATGATGCCCTCCAGTCACCCAGCTGGCAGAGGGCAGTGCCAGGACCAGCTCTAGTGCCTGCATGTCTGGCCACTCAACCCCAGCAGTGACACTGAGGCAGATGGACACAGACTCCTACAGGAGCCAGTCAGGGCTTCTGGCTGCACCCCAGTGCTCGTGCAGAACTGCAGGGAGAGAGAAAAGAGTGGGCTGGATAGAGGAAGGAAGCCCTGAGCTCCAGGTTGGCGTGAATGGCTTGGTCCTGTTGACAGCAAGGTTTGTAAAAATTATGAAACAGTGGGACGACGTAGACCACCGCATCCTGGGAAGATTCTTCTGGCAACGCTACTTGTGGTGGGTCCACATGGAGGGTATAGAATCTGGAAAACAAGTGGGAGGCTCTACAGTCTGTGGTTGGAAAACTCTCGATCTGCAGAATGTGGTCTCTGTAAATACCTTTCACTACTAAGAGGAATCAGGCCTCCTTAGAAAAGTGACCATTTCTAGGTCTGGAGCAAAAAATGTACAAAGTACCTTAGAAAGAAAAGAAACCATTGAAGTCCAAATTACTGGAGTGGCATCAAAAAGACATAGACATCTTGAAAAGGCATCCACTGGGTAAAGATGAGACAACTTGAATAAAAAGGAACGATCACTAAACTGGAAAGAAACATGTCAAGTGTGTAAAAATCCATGAGCTCACAATAATATGCTACCCTCTCTCCAACAAAGCAAAACAAAACAACAAAATTCCATGTAACTCATTGGTTAACTACCTTGGGAAATTACCAGGCCACCAACATGTTATGCTAGAGTCTGACAAATAAAAGAGAAGATGGAAGTATCTATCCTACTTTTTTTCATTTTTAATTTTATTGGTACAATTTAGATTTACATTTGATTGTATTCATCATAGGGAATGTGTACCTTTACATGATGTAACTCGATTTCTTTCCCCCCCATTTCCTCCCCCTCCCTTAAACTCCTCTTCTCCTTCTTTATTTACAAAAGCCCTGTTTCCATTTTCCTTCTTTTCTCATTTTTTTCTTTTTCCTTTCTTCCTTTTTCTCTCCTGCTTCCCAAAGAATGATTTTTTTATTTTTTTACACTATTATGCCTTTTAGTCCCTATTTATGTTTTCAATTTCTTACACCAGAGAGACAATGTGATATTTACATAAATGTGATATTTATCTCACTTAAGCATATAGCTTCAAAGTGCACCCATTTTGCTACAAATGTCTTAAGTTTATCCTTCTTTGTGGCTGAGTAGTACTCCATTGTGTAGAAAACTCACATGTTCTTTATCATTTTTGTCCTGTCAAAGGCTGATGGGCATTTGGATTGTTTCAAAGATTTAGCTACTACAAAATATATCTACCCTACTTTGCATATGATAACTTTTTCAGAACAACCAAGTAGTTGATGGGAAAAGGTTCTTTTTTTTTTTGGTTTTTTGAGACAGGTTCTCACTATGTAGTGACCTGAAACTCACTATGTAGCCCAGACTGGTCTCGAACTCATAGCGATCCTCCTGCCTCAGCCTCCGGAGTGCTGGGATTACAGGCGTGTGCCACCACACTCGGCGGGAAAAGGTTCTTTACAGAAACATCCCAATGGATAATTAATGGAGGAAAAATGTTAGAATCGCCAATTTACAACCCTTACTGAAATAACAAAGCTGCATAATGATCACTGACCACAGAAACTACTAGTAAAGGTCCACTGGGGAACTGGATAGGTATGAATGGACAGATGTTTCTGAAACCACTGATCAATCTTCATGTGGGATTGACACACTCCTAAAATGAACCAAAACACAGTGTATACTAACATCAAGATGGAGCCTGAATCTATCAAGTACCAGATCTTAGTCTCATCTACAGGAAGGGCAGGGTGTGGAAAAACATGTGAAAAGGTAGTGACTCCTCTCTCTTTCCTGGTGTAGGGGAATGAGGTAGGCTGGGGCAGGAATTCTGGCCCATGCCCTGACAGCGGCTGTGGTTGTTCTCCAGGGTTGGGTTGAAACCCTCTCTGTTTTCCAGTTCATTTCACCAGCATTCATGGCTTTAATTGACGTTTTTTGCCTGTGGTCCCCAAACTTGTATTTTTTCTGTGCTTGGGACTCAGCCCCAGCTGCCCTGTTGGCATTTCCACTGGGATGTCTCAGTCACAGCAGCTACATGTGACCGCACGTCCTCCCCCTGTGTCCTCTTGGGTGAAGCCCACTGCCATCCTGTGCTCAGGACCTGGGAGGGTCTTGACACACACCTCCCCGCATTCTCCATGTCTACTTCAGCAGGCTCTCATTTCTCACCTGATCTATCCTGGCTTCCCAAATCTAATTTCTGCAGCCACAGAAATTGTTTAAAATCCCCCAATTCTGACTGTATCTTTTCTGTTAAAATTTTTTCAATATCTTCTTTTGCATTTTGGATTAAGCTTAAACTCTGACAGGGCCTGCAGGGCATGTGGACTTGGATCTTAACCACTCACACCCCTGCCTTCACACCAGCCACTTCTCCCCAACCCCTGCTGACCAGGACTCTCTGAGAGCTTCAGACGTCCCTGCTCCCCACCTTCTCAGGCCTTCTGCAAGGCTGTTCTTGCCTAGCTGGTCTCCAGGTATCCTTCACAGTGCAGTTTAGGAGTTACATTGTTAGGGAACCTTCTTCCACTGGCAGAGCCACTCCTGGCCCCTGCTATATTTCCTACTTAACCACTTTCATTTCAGTGTACATTGGTGCTTCTATTGAATATTTCAATTGACTTCTTAGCATCTAAACCCTGTTAGGACAGGAATATGCCTCGCTAGTCATTGAATTTCTGGCACTAGTATATTTTGTAACACAGTGAGGACTAAATATCTGATAAACAAAGGAAAAGAGAATGAGAAAAGTGGATGTGAAGGAGGAAGCTGATAATCCCAACCAAATCCACTTCCTATGGTGAGTCCCATGAGGTACAGGAAGGGTTTGTTACAGCAAATCTTCTTTGCACACAATTATTTTCCTAAAGCTGGTGGCAACCGGGCACAAATGACCAGGGCTGTGGAATGAGGTCTGCAGGTCTGGCAGAGGTACAATTCAAGTATGGATCTGTATTTTGAAAAGTCAAAACATTGAATTTAGAAATTAGCTCTCTCCTAATCAGGCCTAACAAATGTGCTAATCAAAATATCTACAAATGCAGCCACAAACTGCTAACCCTTTGACGATTTGATAGCCCCTGGTTTGGATGAGGCAAACACTGAGGAATACAAGAAAAAACAGTCAAGAAAAATAAAATTAAGGTTTCTGGAATTTGCGTTCTTCCTTGAGTCCAACCAAATGAACGAGGTACACATTTTAGCCAGGGAGGACGTCAAGAGCACTTGGGCTTTGTTGGGGTGCTGACCTTCAGACCAAATGTCACTGTGTGGTCAGCAGCACTTCTGTTCAAGGATTAGTATCCTGCCAAAAAGAAGTGGGATGTGGCCTTCGTGTGGGGAGAAGACAAGGTGCAGAAACATCTGGTGGCAGAACGCTGAGGTACAAGGTTGCTTCAAGGATGAGGGGCAGAGAGATGTCCTGGTTTGTGACCCAGCGGGCGAGGCAGCTGGACCAGCATCTGCCTCAACTTTCGCAATGATTCTTGACCCTTATGAAGGGGCAATGGCTCACACATTGCTGGAGTTTTCTGGGATGGCTTCTACTCCCAAATATACATATCTGGATGCAGAATCACCATGCTTTAAATCCTTGCTGCTTTCTGGGCCTCCTTGGTTGAGAATAGCTGACACAAGTTGCATTTGTCTTCTTTTGCAACATAACAAATTACGACAATGTTAGTGGCTTCAGCAGTACTGGGTATTCTCTCACAGGTCTGTAAATCAGGATCATCTGGAGTCTCCCAGGGCTAAAACCAAGACAACAGCAGGCTGCATTTCCCTTGGGATACCTCCTAGGGAAATCTGGTCCTTGGTCATTGGAGTTGTGGGCTTAATTCATTTTCTTGCCACTGTCTGCTGAGGGCCATTCCCAGCACTGGTGGCCATTGTGTTCCCTGGCCTCTTAGTCATGACCTATTACTTCATCTTCAAATCCTGCAGCGGTTGGTTAAGCGCCTCTCATGCCTTGAGTCTCCCCTTGTCTCTCTCACCTTTGTGACTGAAGCTGGGAAAGATTCTCCACCATTAAGGGCTCTAGGATGAGGTCAAGCCCACCCAGGAATCCAGAATAACCTCTCCATCTCAAGGCCTTCAACCTTAACACATCTGCAAAGCCCCTTTGGCCAGGGGGTAGGAGGTAGACACATCTGGGGGGCATTATTCTCCCTACCCTAAATGTTTTCATCTGATTTAGGTGGGGTGAGTCCTAAAAGATTTTCTTTAGAACATGATTAATCTCCTCTGTGAACCAAAAAGATATCGTCACGTAACCACTGACCTCCCCTTCTATATGTAAGAACTTTAGCTATTGGGGTTTCTTGAAGAACTCTGTTATATTTTATCAAACTCTCAGAGAACATTCTTTTTCTCCACTGAGCTTTATGCAGAACCTTGGTATTATTATTTTCTCATGCTCTCCTCTGTACTTAGAATCCAAATATATCATGTAAGTTTTTTTCCCTTTTTGCACACATGCATTTTCTTTCTACTAGGTCTTTTGGAGAGGGTTCAGATCATAAATTTTCTATTTTTCAGAGAGCAAAATGTCTCCAGAGAAGAAAGAGTTTTCTTACTCACCTATTTCATTTCCCCAGGACTTTCAAATTTATATACCATCTTAAAAAAAAAGATCTCTGAGCAATTTCCTTGCATCATACCTTTTAAATATCTTAATTTTTGTTTTGTTTTGTTTTGTTTGAGACAGGGTCTTGGTATGTAGTTCAGGCTGGCCTTGAACTCATGGTGATCTTCCTGCCTCAGCCACCCAAATCCTGAGATTACAGGTGTGTACCACACTCCTGACTGTCTGAATATACTTTTTAAATAGTTAGAATGAGTGTTTGCTTTTATAACACTGGATTCTTGCAATTTGGCCATTAAAAAAATGGAAACAATGGGACTTCATAACAGCTAGATTAACAAATACATAGATAATTGAATCAATTTTTTGTTAAGTAAGATCCAGATATCCTGAGGTCTGACATTAAAGAAAGACAAAGAAGATACAATGAATTTGTTAATTTAGTTAATTTCAGACCTTGGAGTTCAGTTTCCTATTTCTGGTCACCTGTTAAATTTACCCATGAGGTTGTTCTTTACATTTGAGAAAAACTCAATGAGATTTTTCTGTTGTGAAGCATTTTAAGTACAATTTCAAGTGAAAAGGCAATGACTCGGTAACACATACAGCATGATTTATACATACATATGTATAAGTGGAAGACAGGTATGTACGCCTTTGTACCGTGCACAAGTGACGGGCCGGGGTGGAGGTGCTACACTGAACACAGTCCCTCACTTCCCTCTAACTCTGAGTCCATCGACATAAAAGGCTATATATTTTGTGGGGGGGTAATTTAATTTATTGGTACATTCTAGGTAGACAGTACAGCTACATTCATTACTGGGATCTTGTACCCTCACATGCCAGGTCTTGGGTCTCATTTTTTCCCCTTGTCCCCTGCCCCTTCACCCTCCCCTCTCCCCCTTCAAACACTTTAATTCCATTTTTACATTTTCTCATTTTTTTTTTCCTTTTCCCTTATTCCCCCTTCCCTATCCTTCTCACTGTCCCTACACCTTTGGTCCTTTTCTTCCTGTTTGCTAATTGTCCCATTAGGATCTTGAGTACTGTTTTAGTTTTTCAC